GATGCTTATGTAACAGTTGGTATACCATTGCTAAGACATGCTTTCTACCTTTACAAACCTTACGTATGAATGCTTCTCTCACTCCCGAAATACATGTAACTGGTGTGCAGGGGCTCCACTCATGTTTGTAGACTGCTTGTGCTTCATATGTGCGTATTGCCTCACACACATACTAGGTGTTTTGAAAATACTTAATTTCTGCGCATGGGTAAACCACAGATTGGCTTTAGCAAAAACACATGATATAACACATGCATTAAAAAGAGCTAAGAGGATTTCTTTGTTCCACACTAGCCAGTCTGCCACCCTCAAACGCTGACTTTATCACAAGAGTCTAAGGCTTCCCTCTGCAAAGGGTTTAGGGTCCTTCTGGAAGCCACGTGGTACATGGCAGCCAGCCAGGAAGCCTGCTGTAAGGCAGCACAGCCCAGCAAGGTTATTACAAGGACAGGTGTGGGCTCAGTCCAGATCCAGCCATCTGTGTGTCCTCAGGTTGCAGAGATGGCTCACACATGTCCCCACATGTTCCCGAGTCACTTATCCACCTTGCACAACTCTCCGCAGACGAGGTCCATCTGGCACTGCAGGGTTTTCCACACTCAGCTCCTCCGGTTTTCCAGTCATCGCTGTGGCATAGCACGGGGTCCTCCATGTTTATAGCAAGTCTCCTGGGACATTTATGGATCTGTTTCTGGAATTTTCCCTCCAACTTTTTTTTGAAATCACAGCATGAAGCTGTGATCAAAGGATCCAAAATAAGCTGCTTGACTTTCTGTCCTGAGATTTCCGTAGCCTTTTGGTTTGGGGGACTGTTGAACTACACTGCAGGTCAGTGCGTGACACAGAGGCAAAAGCAAGACTGTCCGGGTAATGAAGCCTCGAGGTAACCAGGGGCACAGAACACGACAGCACTCTCGTGTGTGTCACCTGACCTCACCCCACTCGGAATCCTGTGGGGCTTTTCTCTTCTCTCACTGGTAAACAATGATTCCCCAGTCTATCTTTTACAGGATCACAGAACTAGGATGCAAGTGTCCTACTTAATTTTTCAAAAAATTTTACTAGTGCATGTCTGCAATACATAATGTTTGCATTCGGTGTGGGAAATGGGTTCACGTGCATAAGATCTTCATTCTTTTTTTCCTTTTCCCTCCTGCCCTTTAAAAATTTACTTTGGCTACCATACGACAATTATACTGAAAACAAGGAGTACTTTTTGATACATTGTCCATGCTGCATTATCTTAACTTCTCTCTCTCTCTCTCTCTCCCTCTCTCTCTCTCTCTCCCTCTCTCTCTCTCACACATTTCTCATCTCTCCTATTTTCTGGGACTTTTGGGCTTTATCTATATACAATAATTTCTCAATTTACAAATGAATTCTGCTCTGGGAGGATGTTTGTAATTCAATTTGTTGATCAGTCAGATAAAACGAATGGAATGATTCACATTATAAGAATGAGTGATGTCTGCCACCCTCCCGCCTCGGGCCAATCTCCCAATTATTTTTACTTTTGTCTCCGTGCTTACTGTTTTGAAATGCTAGTCACTGCCTCTTCTCTCGCTTTCCAGGGCTCTGGGCTCTGACTGAGCACTGCCCCGCTGCACCCTGTCACCCGGCTCAGTGAGCACACGACAGCTCAGCTGTGACAGTGTCCAGCAGACACGGGAGCTACTTCCAGGATTTGTTGGCATCTACGAATGTTTGTGATGAGAAGTCCCCTTCTATCTGTGAACGTCCACAACTCGAATGTTCCCAAGTTAGGGACTCAGTATAATGAGTATCTCATAAAAGACAAACCACGGGATGTCTCATCTGTGGGTCTGATTTGCTTCATTTAACATTATGGGCTCAAGGTGCATTAATTTCACACAAACAATTCAAATTTATTCTTCTTTGTGGCAGAATAGCACTTTATTGTGTGTAAACGTGAACATATGGGACCACTTCCAACCTTTAGCTATGTTCCATAGTGTTTGTTCCAGTTTACACTTCTACCAACAATGTTTAAGGGTTTTCCAACTGCAGCCTTATCAGAATTTGTTGTTTTTTGATGTTTTGATGATGGAGTAAGATGGAATCTCAGCAGTGTTTCAATTTGATTTAAAGATAATCAACATTTTTCAGGTACTTATTGGCCATTTGTAGTTCTTCTGAAAAGTGTCCATTCATTTTGATTGGGTCTTTTTTTGGGATGAGGTCTAACTTTTTGAGTTCTTTATGTATTCCACATATTAGTTCTCTGTCCAAGGAGGAGCTGACAATCTCCCCCCCACCACCATTTTGTAGGCTGTCTCTTCATGCTGTTTGCTATTTTCTTTGCTATAAGAAGCTTTTTAATATGATAGAATCAGATGTTCACCGATTTTTGTGTTTCTTTTTATGCCATTAGAATCTGCTCAGAAAGTCTTTGCCTACGCATCTGTCTTCCAGAGTTTTACCTACTTTACCATCTAGAAGATTGACTGTTTCTGGCTTAATATCTAGGTCTTGCTAGGGATACAGCTCAACAGCCCAGCCCTGTCAGGCAAGCACAAGGTCATGAGTTTGATTCCCAGTACAATAAAAGAAAAATCTAGGTCTTTGATCCATTGTGATTGGACTTTAGCTCATGGTGAAAGATATGGTTCTGGCTTCAATAATTTTGTATGAACATAGCCAATTTCTCCAGCATCATTTGGTGAAGAGGCTGGCTTTTTTCCAGTGTATACTTTTACTCCTTTGGTGAAAGATCAGATGTCTGAATATGCCTGCAACTAGAATGAAATTTTGTTTGTTTTGTTTTGCTTTTAGAGAGAGTCTTGTTATACACGTTTGACTGGCCTCAAATTGTGTAGCCTAGGATGACCTCAAACTCACAGAGACCCTCCTGGCTCAGCCTCTCAAGTGCTGGGATTGCAGACACGTACCACCACACCCAATGTTGAGATTTTATATAACAGGTTTTATGAAATTGTGAAATTGTCTTCTGCTCCAAGTTTGATGAATATTTTTATCATGAAAGGATGCTGAATTTTGTCAATTGTTTTCTAACTTGCTTTTAAAAACCTCTTCAAATTAAACAGTATAAATTTAACTGTTTTAGAGTGATGCATGTTTATACTCACCCACTTATTTACAAATTCATCATTACTCCTTATAGAGAAGAGCTTGTTTTGATTTGCACACCTGGCTGCCATTCGTGAAAACTGAGTTATTCTTTATTCCTGTCAAGTGCACTGCCGTGGCACAGCTGATAGCACCATCAGAAAGAGACTAAAGGCAAGAGCTCCTACTTGCCTGGGTCGCTCATCCTCACAAGTCCTCAAGGCTACACTGCCCCAAATGTGAAGGTACCACTCACTGCATGCAAGTATTGCCAGTGAGAGAAGTGAAGAAATCTCCTAAGATGTTGGTTACCTGTGATTTGAAACCAAAGATATTTAAAATGAAGTTAAGAGTTATAAATACACATACATGTTATTGGCAGGATAAACTTTCTGTGTTGACAAAAAGAGTACAGTTTTTCTACTGCAAGTTAATAGATTCTAAAATCAGCAGGCTTTTCGTGAAAGTAATTAAGAAAAACGAAGCAGAAGCAAATCCAATCTTTTAAGAACATTTTGCCTTTAAAATAACTTTCTGTAAAATCATCTAGAGTGAAATGTAAGTGAACTCTGGTTCTGTGTGTTCAGTGGAGTCAAATTGAACCTGAAAACATCTTTCATTTCTATAGCTACTTTATTATATTTATACAAGGTTACAAAAAATTAATTGGGTGACTTAGTGAGGCAACTGTCACATATATTATGAGGTCTGCATGCACGTATTATGAAGCAATGCTGACTGTAAATTCAGCCTTACTGAATTAGTTAGCCAAGGTTGCTAGAAATGACTTAATGAGCGTGAACACACAAACTTCCAGTAACCCTGCAGGCGGAAAAGTGGCCCATGACCTAAAAGAACCTCTCTGTTAGACCAGGGAGATGATGAAGTATGTGAAGTCACAGCCCCTCGATGTGACGGGAGACCGGCTGCCCAGGCAAGGGTGGCCAATCGGCAGAGTTAGGGAGTGAAGAGGAGAGTGATACATTCCAAAAAGTCATCTCATAATATGCATCAGCTAAAAGACTGGGAGACACACTTCATCCCTGTTAAAATTTAAGAAGGAACGAGTATCCACAGCATCTGAAGCGTGGCTGCTCATTAGCTCAGCTGTCCCTTAATTGTACTTAGCAATCTGTCTGGATTCAGCTCGCAGAGTAGTAGAGGTAGAAAAAAGGTTTAAAATGGCCTTTTGGACACACACAGGGGTGAAGGAGCAGCTGGTCAAGAAGCGGCAGTCCCATCGCCAGCAACACACGCACGCACGCACACAGAGCACATATCAGTGACGTTAGAGAATCAACTAAAGTGAAGGATGAGATTCCCGGCAGGAAATCAAAGTAAGCAGGTGATAACCTTGTCATGTCCTAAGGACACAGCAAATGGTTCATTGCTATTGGATTCCTGCACTTAAAAATAAGGCATCATTCAGTACCGGGAATCATGGGAGGAATTATCTTTAATCTCAAGACAAGTCTATTCTATATGTCTTCTTCTTCATACAGTATTGTCTTGGAGGCCCAGTCAGAGTCAACTTTAAAAAAATGTAAAGAAACATATAAGGTTGGTATATAAATAAATATATAATAACTATAAAGAAAGATTTTAAAATTGTGATTTTCAGATGATTTTGTTTAGGGTTTTCAAAATCTCAAAGAATTTGAAGATCAATGATTAGAGATTTTGGATTTTGGAAAGAGAGCTAACTATAAAATCAATATGGCAAAAATCAATTATCTTTCTGCATAGTATTAACAAAAGGTATAATCTTAAAAGGTGACATTTTCCATAACAATAATAAAAGCTAGGTAATACTTGAGAATAAATCTAATGAAAACTATTTGAGCTTGCATATAGAAAAGTAGAAAAAATACTCTAAAGAAATCTAACAGAAATAACTGGATATAACAACCAACCTTGGAATTCCTCAAATGGAATTTAACAAGCTAGTCATAAACTCCAGGTGGAAAACCAAAGGATAGTCAAAAGCCAGGATATTCTGAAACAAAGAAGAAATCAAACAAATTAGTCTATTAGATAGCTGGATAAATTATTACAAGCTTTAGGAGACACAATTATCAATTACATGAAAGACACAAAGTAAACCCGATATGTATGAAGCATTAATACATCATTAATACACCCTGTGGCAGGTACCAATGCTTTAGATCAGTTTTTAAAAGGACTTTTCAGTATGATACTAATACAATCACCTATAGAGGGGGAAATGGTAATCATTTGATGTAGGGGAAACTTAATGTGAAAGATAGAGATATTGAAAACATAGAAAGATATCTTGGTGACATTTAACAAAGGAAAGTTTTTTGGTGTGTTTTATATAAGATCACCAATTTTAAATGAGAAAGAATTAATTACATTAACAGTAAAGATATTTGTTCATCAAGAGACATCATGAAGAAAGAACTAGCCATAAACTAAGAGAAGATAGTCTCAGTACATACATTTCTTAACAAAGAATTATAGAACATAATCCATAAAGAACTATGAAAGTTAATAATACAAACAAAATCACATAAGTAGAAAAATGAACATAAACCTATGTCTCCCAGAAAGGCATGTCCCGTGATTTTAAAAGTGCTTAATCTTATTAGCAATCAGAGAAAAATACAACAGTGTATTTTACATTCAATAGATTGCCAAAAGTTAAGGAGTCTGACCATGTCACATTCTGGGATCAATATTTATGTACTTTGGTTTGAGGGTACAAATTTGTACAAATACTTTGGTACATTGTCTAACATTCCCTTTCAAAGTTGAGCACTGTGTATCAGTAAGCCAGAAATTCCGCTCCATGCCAGATACCCTAGAAAAACTGTTATTTATGTTCACCAGGCAATTGCTCAAACTATGAAAAATGTGTATGGCGGTATTCTTCAAGAGCACAAGAAAAAAGCAAAAAATAAGCCATTGAAATTATATCAAGCAAAACTCACTCACTAAAGAAAACAACCAACAGTGAAAAGACATCCTACATATTGGGAAGAAGCATTTGCAAACCATACTTCTAACAAGAAAATATTATCAGGGCTATATAAGGAACTCCAAAACTCCAATATCAAAAAATCAAATAACAATGTAAAAGTGCACAATAGACCAAATAGACATTTTTCAAAAGACACATTCTTTTTTTAAAGGATCAAAGGTTTATTTTGACTCAGTTTGTAGAGGTTTCAGTGCAAGGCAGAGATGAGTCCTGAGGAGATCTCTCTCTCTCTCTCTCTCTTTTATCGGTACCGGGGATTGAACTCATGACCGCCTGCTTGCAAGGCAGGTGCTTATGCCACTGAGCTAAATCCCTAGCCCCTGAGAGTTAGTCTCTTGCAGTTCTATTTCTATATAAGCTATGATATTTCTTCTTTCCTTTATGATCTTATTTGAGCCCACTATTTTTATAGTCCAAAGCTTTGAAAATTTTGTCTTTTTCTAAAGAAAACTATTACATTTTTCTATTGCTGTCTGTGCATTATTGAGTCCATCACCTGCATTATTTCCTTCCTTGTCATGTAGTTTGACTTAGCTTGATTTTGTTTTTTCTGTTCACTTAAAGTAAGTTTAGGTTATTCATTTGAGTTTCATTTGTTTGTTTGTTTTTCACTCAGGATCTCACTATACAGTGCAAGATGGCCTTAAACCCACTACGGACTCCAGGCTGACCTCAAACTCATGGCAATCCTCCTGTCTCAGCTTCCGAAGTGACGGGATTACAGGAATGTGCCATCCTGCCAGGCTTTGTTTTGCATGAAAGCATTTTTTTTTTTTTTTTTGCTATCAACCACAGATTTGGTGAGTTATGTTTTATTTTTTCTTGGCTCAATATATTTTATAATTCCTGCTTTTTTCTTGTCTGATTCATTGATTTTTTTCAGAAGTATTCTTTTCACTTGTTGACATATTTGTGAATTTTCCAATGTTCTTTCTGCTATTGATTTCCAGTTTCATCCCACTGGGGTTGGAAAGGTTAGTTAATATTATTTGAAACTTTTTAAATTTGCAAAAATTGTATTGTGACCAAAAGTGAATCTCTCTTGGAGAAAATCCCATGTGCACTGGCGAGACGGGCTCCTGCTTATCTGACTCCTGGGATGCCTGAAACTGCAGATAGCACCAAGCCCTAGGTGGACAGCACTCTGTCTCGCTTGCTTAGCTCTCCATGGGTTCAGTTATCTGTCATCAGCCGCAGTCTGGAATGTTACACAAAACAATTCCAGAAACAAATGATTCATCATTTTAAGCTGTGCATTGTTCTTGGTAGCTCCTTCCTGTCCAGGACAAAATCAACTCTGCTCAGTGTATCCAGGTTGCATATGCTACTGGCTTGTGAGTCACCTAGGAGCTGTCTCAGTCATCAGAGCAACTGTGGTGGAGCGGTGGTATTTGTGCTCAAGTAATCCTCACATGAAAGCCTACACTACACCAGCACACCTGTGTCAGTTCACCTCACTTCCTCTCACCACAGAGACAACACAACAGTCACAGCATCCCAAGAAAGGGGTGAGTACAGCTCAGTGAGATTTTGAGATGAGAGAGAGAGAGAGAGAGAGAGAGAGAGAGAGAGAGAGAGAGAGGAAAGAGACAGAGAGACAGAGGAAGAGAGAGACACAAGGTTGGCATGTTTATTACAGTGTATTGTTATATTGCCATAACTTCACTATGTTATGTTAGTACTTAGTACTTGCTGCTAAGCTGTGTCTATTTATAGTTTAAAGTTTACCATGAGTATGTTAGGCAAAAACATAGTATATATAAGGAAACAAAAATATTATATGAGTTCTAATATAGTCACAGTTCTCTTTGATGTTTTGTTTTGCTTTGAGACAGGGTTTAACTATGCAGTTCAGGCTGGCCTTGAATTCATTTTGTAGCCCAGGCTGGCCTTGAACTCACAGCCATCCTCCTGCCTCAGCCTGCTGAGTGCTGGGATTACAGACCTGCACCACCACACCAGGCTTAGTCACAGACTCAAGCATCTCCTAAAGAGGGTAGAACACATCCTCTGTGGATCATGGAGTCCTCCGTGGATAATGGAGGACAACTCTACATATTCTAATGGACAGCAGATACCTGGGTCTTCCTTTTCCTCATTCAGTTAATCAATGCTGCTTGATTTGATAATTTCATCTCTGTGCTCCAAGTAATTATTGATAGGAACTTGCTTTGGCCTTTTTGTTACTTGTTTTGTTAATGTTTTCTATTTCTTTTTCTCTCTTGCGGCCTTTCTTTGTGTTTCTTTGATATTTTTGTAATTGTACTTTGTGATGTTTTTTCTATTTTAACATTTATTTCATTTTCTGGTTATCATAAAGACTTAAGCAAGATGTTAAAGATGTAACAATCTACTTTAGAGGGTTAATCATTTAAATTCAATCACATACAGAAATTCTATACTCTTTCTACCCCTCATATTAACAATTTATTTTATCGATGGTACAATTCGTATATTCATGTGTTCATTAACAAATGTTGTATTATTGGCTACTCTTAATACTTTTGTCTTTTCGTTTCTAATACTGAAGTCAAAAGTGAGTTACAGCGCACCATGAAAACATTACAGTATATATGTCTGTGTACATTTACTATCAGCTTTTGTTTTGCATTGCTATTTATGTCCTTGTGTTTCAGCTTGCAGAACTCCCTTTCTCACTTCTTGCAGAGTAGGTCCACTGGGGATGAATGCTTTCAGCTTTTGTTTGTCCTGGAAACTCTCTACATTTCTTCACCTTGGAGGACTATTTTCTTGAGCACAGTACTCTTAGATTTTTTTTTCTTTCAGCTATGTGTCATCACACTCCTTCCTGTCCTATGAGATGTGTGTTGGGAATCCGGGAGTCCCCTTGTCACCCTAGGGATGACCACACATTTGTGTCAAGTCACTTTGCTCTTACTCATTTCAAAATTATTGTCGTTAACTTTGGCAATTGACACAGCTACAAGGGTGTCTCAGTGTGTATTTCTTTGGGTTTGGTCGACTTGGCATTTTAGCAGGTGAGTGTGGGAGATGGAGGTGATGTGAACCTGGACGTTCATTTCCCTTCCCAGAATTTCAGAAATTATTTAATTAAATAAACTTTATGTCATTTTTTCTTCTCTTTCTGGAGCTCTCATAATACACATTAGTTTGCTTTATACTGTTCAGTAAGTCCCTTGGGCTTTCTTTATTTTTTGTATTTCATTTTTTCTTTTTTAAAGGATAATTTAAGATTCCTCATCTTCAAGTTTGCTGGCATGTCCTCTGCTTAATCAAATCTGTTTGTGGAGCTCTCTATTGAAGTTTTAAATTCAGTTATTGCATTCTTTAGATCCTGAATTGTCATTTTTTTAATGGTTTCTATCTCTTTGTTAGTATTATTGTGTTCTAGAAGTTGAGATTTCCTGATTTTGTTTAGTCGTCTGTGTTGTCCTGTAAACTTTTGAAATTCTTTAAGAGAAGTATGTAATTTTGCCAGGTGTGGTGGTGCATGGTATGCTCACAGTACTAGGAAGGCTGAGGTGAAAGGGCTACTACAAATTTGAAGTCAGTTAAGTCTGTGAGTTCAAGGACAGCCTGAACTACATAGCAAGCTCAAAACAAAATTACGGGAGTCTTTGCCACCCTGTTGATAGATCTCCCCTTTTTTAAGTACAGTTACTAGAGATCTTCTTTGCCCTTTGGTTGTGTTGTATTTCTGATTCCTGTAGCTATGCTTTCATGTTTGCACATGGAGATTACCAGTTGCCTCTGCCAATTTTTATGGATGGGTTTGAAAGACTTCAGCAGCCGGCTCTAACTGTCACAAATTTTCAGTGTCTCTCAGAGTTTTCCTGTGAATGTGTGGGATCCGTGCCTCCACCTCCCCTTTGTAGTGAACCTTTACCCACCGATCCCCACAGGCCATACCGGTAATTCTCCCCAGTCCCCGTTTTTACCTTTCTTTGAGCATCTGAAATGCAACATGTCCATAAGAGTTCCAGGTGGGGTAAAACAGGACCCAGAGCCTTGGA